ATAGAACGGAACGGAGTTATAGACTATATTGTGTGAATGTCATTGTCTTGGTGTACACTACGGAGGAATAGTTCAAAGCATTATGTCCACTAGGCCGCCAGTACATCCGATGATGTTTACTAAGAAAGGTTCAAAGCTAAAAACTACCTTCTCTGATGCAATAGAATTTAGTGAGGATTGAGCATAAAAGTCTGCGTGAATTTATTTACACTCATGTGGGGGATTGTAAATTATTGAGTGCAAATAAAGTTGAGTGGGAACCCATATCATATCATTTCCCATTCCTTATCATTTCTTGAATTGCGTGATGAAAGTTGTCATCATATTGCCAACCCATTTCCCAATTGGTCAGAATAATAATAATAAAAAAAAAAATGTTAAACAATTGCAAGATGAATTGCAATTTGTACAAATTGATGCAACTCTCAACACTATAAATAGCCCTTTCGGGCAGAAGGAGAATAACACCGAAAGAAAGAAAGAAAGAAAGAAAGAGAGAAGAAAGAAAGAAAAGGGAAAGAAAAGAAAATATATGTCCAAATATCAGATATAAAAATATCAAAAGAGAAGAAACAAGTGATATTTTTATTTGTTTCAGAATATTCTTTTTTATTATTAAGTGCTCAATTCTCGATTCCGTTCCCGTTCGCCGGAGCTCGTAAATCTGGTGTGCTACAGATTTAGAGACGTTTGCCGTTGTATCTTTGGGGAAGTTACGCCTGAACCGTTAGCTGCCACACGGGGCGTATTCTTCTTGCGGAAAGAGTTTTACTCGCCTCGGCTAAAATCTTTCCGTTTTTTCAAGTTGTAATTTATTTTTTCAGTTCAATTGTAATTTTCTATTTTAGATTATTTGTAAGAACTGAAAATACATATCAGTTCGTAGGATTCCCGTGTAATTTTGATACCAAATATCCAACACATACATCTGTAATAGCTTTTGATATTTGTAGTTTTCTGTGTTATAATAGATAGCTTAGAATAGTGATATGTTCATGAATGTAGAAAGTGAGGGAGAAGACAGATAGAAGAGAGAGTAAAGGTAGAGGGATAGCAAGAGAGAAAGGAGAATATTTCATGTAACAGCTTACTTCATTTCATCACATGTGAGGTAATTTATAATCTGTTACAAACTTTTTGCCCTAATTCCCGAAATATCCTTAGCTTCTAGAATAAAACATAACTGCACCCAAACTCTAAATAAAGTTGGCTAGCCCAACTATTACATAAAAGCTGATCACTAGAAAAGGAAATATTGACGCGAGTTATCCTTGTGAAAAAAGTTTTTACATAACTGCACCCCTTTATTATTAAGTCAAATACACTCTTTTGATTTTCATTTATACTCCAAATATCAGTTATTGTTTTTTTTATTTTTTTTATTTTTGTTTTTTAATTCTTATTTAAACCTTTTATAAACCTCATCTTATCTTTCTCCTGGATCTAATTTTTCCTCCATCTCGTTTTCTTCTTCTTCTAATTTCTTCTTCTTCTCTCTTTTTCTTTCATTCTTCCATTTTCATTCTTTTTCTTCTCTGTCGATTCTTCTTCTTCTTCCAATTTACAGATTTCCCCTAATCTAATTTTCCCAAATTTTTTCATCAAATCCGCATCTCAATTTTTTTCGAAATGATGGACTGTTTGAAGTTCTTGAAAATTCCCTAATCTAATTTGCCATAATATTCTCGCTGCTCAGATTCCAAATTCCAGATGTCAGCGTGTTGGGAATGGGCGTGCAAGGTTCGAATAGCAAATCGTCATAGAAGGATCTACTACCTCCGGCTGCTCGTCGTCGTTACGGCTCAACGACGGGGCATCTTTGGGTTCAATCGGTAGGGACAATTTTTAATAATTTCTATTTTTCAGGCTTGGTGTGTTTTTACGATTTTTATGACGATTATTAGCCTTCAATTCGCACTCTTTGATTGATCGGCTTGAGTTTTTAGAGGAAGTCTATGGAAATTATTTTCATTCATTATGTGCCTGTTGATTTTAGTTTATGTTGAGGTTTGTTATTATCTGGATTGTTATGGTTTTTTTCATGTTACTTTGTATGTTGTTATGATTGTTTTCATGTTACTTTTATGTTATTATGTTGTGGTTTTCTTGTTACATCGAAGGTTTGTGAGTTCTTCATATTTTATCTCAAATTTTATGTTATGGATTGTTATGTTATTTTTTTTTATGTATGTATATATATATAATCAATTTGTTTTTTTTTTTTTTTNNTTTTTTTTTTTTTTCAGGAGAAGATGAAGATGATGAATAAAGGGAAGAAGAGAGAGAAAAGAACGAAACGAGATGTAAGAGAAAAATAAGAAAGAGAAAAAGAGCAATTAGATAAGAGAGAGAAAGGGAGAGAGTAGTTGAATTTTGAAATGATGTAACTTTCTATTCAAGTAATTTTGTCTACTGTTTGGAGTAGATTGAAAACTGTGTATGACTAGTAACTGTTATGTAAAATCTTTATTAAAAAAGGACAGTTATAAATTTTTCCCCTAGAAAAGCCCAACTTAAAACATATTTCCAAACATAAACAAAAAGCCCAAATAACTAGAAATCATAAAGTGGCCCTAAATATGAAATAGGCCAAAAATCCCAATTTATTCAATCTTCAACCGTAACCCTAACCCTTTCTCGTCATCCTCGTCGCCTCGATTTCTCCGGCGACCTTGTTTACTACCAAAACCACCAAGTCTTCTCCTTTCTCGGCCAAGTTCGTGCCTTTTCCATTGTTCTTCACCTCAAAGCTTCCGCACTTAGCCGTCCCGATGGAAGCATCATCTGAAGTCATGACAACATCACATCAATTTTTATTTACTATTCATCTACAAACATAATTTTAATTACCTATCACTTTGGATAATTTCTCTCATACTTTCACATCAATTTTAATCATTATATTTTAAATACTATTTAATTTCAAACTCAAAATCATCCACTCTTTATAATTTATTCAAACTAACTCACTTTAACTAATTTTAGCCAACAAAATTGGTCAAAACTGGTTGGATTCATATCTAATTGTGCCTAAGAAGCTCAACAAATATTCATTTTAGAAGTTTGAAGACAATCAATTTAATACTAATTAAACAAATGTTTCATTGAAGATATGTACACAAATACTAACATAAACGTGGAATAATTTTATTTGCACTAACAAATTGTTAAAAATCATGAAGTTTTAAATTTTAATTAAAAATGATATGATAATATGGACCTAGTAAAATTTGCCTAAAAAAGTTATTGTAATACTAATAGAAACATGGGTTATATCTATTAGCATTTAAATTTTAAGTTTTTACCTATTGTCTTTAACATGTTACTTGTTAATCATCTTAATCTATATCTTAGTAAAGATTAAATATAAACAATTTGAATTAGGTTTACTCGCTTTATTAGTTGCATACAGATTTTAGATAGACATATTTTTTTTGTTATTTTGCACAATTTAAATTTGATATAATATTTTTAATAAATTATTATAGATAAATTGTATTATATATTGGTATAAATGTAATTTATAAATTTTATTTTGTAATCAATTTTAATTTATAAATATTAATATATTATTATCTGTATATATGGTGATGGGGATGTAATTTGAGTAACATTAATTCTTAGGTTAGTGCTGTATCCGGGATGAAATTGTCATCATCAATCTTTCGCCGGCTGCAATCGTCTCACCGCCCTTGGTCGACCGAAGTTGAAGCAGAGGGCAAGAAGCAAGCCCGCGTTTGTGCCCACAACAATCTCCTAATTTGCCTTCCCGATGATGTGCTCTTCAAGATCCTGTTGAGCCTTTCTGCTGAAGACATTCACAGGGCAAGTCTCGTCTCCCGGAGGCTCTACTATGAAACCACTCGCTCCGAGGAATTTGTAAACCTTCATCTTCAGCAGCAAACTGACGAATACGGCCTCTTCTTCCGATATGCAGCAACATATAACTATCAACATCCCTCCCAGCGCGCGGTTTTCGTGTCTATGAAACAGGGCCGTGTCACGGTATCCAACTACTATGCTTACAAATTCAGATATATGTTAGAGACTAGCTGCAACGGCCTCATCCTCGAGTACGAACCCTTGCTCCAACTCCACGTGGTCAACCCTGTCACGGGACGACCCTTCCAACTCCCTCCGCTCCCCAAAAATGCAGAGTGTATAAGTTGTTGCGTGGGGTACGCGGATGCCTCCTCAAAGGCGTACAAGGTGGTCTTGGCATACCGTACAGATCGGGAAAGTGACGTGTGCCAGGCCATATTGACCTTGGGTGTGGACAAGTCATGGAGGCATCTGGAAACCGATCAATATTTGACGGAGTCTACACTCAGCCGCTTGATGGTGACGGAGGGTTTTATTCATTTGATTTTTGGGGACACTGTCCTGACGCTGAATGTGGAGACGGAGGTTATGATGGAGACGCGGGCCCCAATATTCTCCAAGAATCCTTCCAAGTTCACGAGCTGGTGGTACCTGTCAACTGGGAAGTCCCTCACTCTAGTGGTCGAAGTTGAGCATCAAGTGTTTCAAGTTTGGGAGATGGTGCGTGGGGATTATAATTGTTATTGGAGGGAATGGGAACGTCAGATTGAGTTGAGAAGTGAAATTCAATATTTGCGTAGTATTGAACCGGTCGGTTGGTTGCAGCAAATGGAGGTGTTGGTGCTTAAAGTTTCGTCTAGAAACAAGTTTTGCCTTATTTACTATGTGGTTATTGCTACCGGGAAAATCGGATGGATCGACCCTACATCAAGTAACAAGGAATGGTTGGCTGGGGAACTTTATATGATTCTTGATGAAGTTTTTCCTCACAAAAACACCTTTGTCAACCCATTTACTATCTGACTATCATACGCTCATTTCTTGTTTATGTTGGTAGGATGGGATTTTTTTTACTGTTTAGAGGCTGTTAGTGGTAAGTGAATGACTGATGATGCAACTGTCATGAAAAAAGTATTGATCGTTGCGGTGAAAACATATCTCGCTTAATTAGAATGGACAAACTTTGGATTTTTACATGTTTGAATGAAGTTGAAATTGTGATGTTGCCAGGTTTTGTTGGTAGGAGCAGTGTGCTTGTTTGACTGCCAAGTGAAGAGAAGATGGAGATTGAGTGTTTGTTTCTAGGCATTGCAATGAGATGAGAGAGTGAGTGATATATCTGTCTGTGTTCTGCATTATCATCTCAAAGGTTTTGCAGGCCTTGATAAACATTGGTGAAATTTATGCTTTTGATGAATAATAGCTAATATTTTTATTAGAATTGTTTGTTTATAATTTTCTACGGTCTTTTTTTTTTTTTTGGTGTTTTTTATGTGCACAGTTCAATATAGTATTTGTCCAAACTAAAATTGAAAAAACGGGGCCTGTCAGACAGCTGTCAGGCCATCTTGGCTCATCAAGACAAGCCAAGAACGATCCTCTACTTATCCAATGGGCCCAAGCCTTAGCCAAGGGGTCTGTTAATCGCGCTCTGGCCGGGAAGCCATTTGTTCATCTACCAGACTTGATATATTGTCTCCTTAGAACTCAAGGATAGAGAGATCCGAGCCTATAGAGTATAGAACAAATCCTGTTCAACTAAGTTCGTGCCTTAAGAAGCTGTAGTGGTTCATTAAAAACACCTCAATTTGTTTGGTTTTTTTCTGGTATGGAACTTTGTGTGTAAACTTCAACTGCCTACAAACTTTTTCTATTAAGCTCTGACATCAACTATAAGGTTTATAGTACTATCTATAAATCTGTTAACCAAAAACAACAAACAAATTGTTAACCAAATTTAGGTCCTAATAAGTATAGATATCTTTGTATTGAAACTTGCATGTGTCTTTGGAGAATTTGTGGTAAACTATGGGTCAGTTATTGTTTCCTTCATCAAACATAAAAGCTGTAAGTTTCCTGAAATTTATCAGAGTTTACTATGTAGCGTCATTCATTTCATCTAGTTTTAGAACTAGTCACTCATAATACGGATTCATCTTCACGGTTACTCGTGACATTATCACACGCCCAATATCTATGAACATTGCTAGATAAGAAAGAAAATGAAGAAAATAACAGAATCTAATTAGATAAATAGTCCTTGTACTGTGCAGGACAATGTTAGCTTCCAGGAAGTTTAATTAAGCTAGTATCACCACAAATGCTTGTTTAATAAGGGATTAATATTCTTAATCTGACGCATGTCCACAGAGCTAAATCGTATACTTGAAAACTCTGCATCTTAGCTGTGATGTTGTCACACAAGGAGACAGCTGAAACTTCTATAATGGACGATAATGGGTAATTAACTAAGCATAATTAGGCCAAGAAGTTTTGCTTAATTAAGGTCAACTCAAGAAAAAAATGTTCTGTATATTTTGCAAATAAGACTTACACTTGAAAAGATTTTGGTTTGCCTGCCTCAGTGATATTGGTGAGAAAGATGTACTTAGAATGGACTAGCTATGGTACCGAGATTCGGGATACAATTTGAAAAGATAAAATTTTCTATATAATAAGAGACACGACAGTATGGGTCGAGTAAGTAATTTGAATCACTGTTTGAAATGCATTGTATCAAATGATTCATGCATTTATACATTGCATGTAAAGGTTCATGAACTTGTGAAATTATAACTTGGTCCCAGTTCTGTTGCCTCTCTATCCCCATCCATTCTTTTGTTGATGCAGTTTCAATAAGCTACAACTAGGAGGTAGCTTTTGGCCTCAGTTTAATAGTTCGGATATTATTATGTTGAGATTCTTTTTTGGATACATTTTCGGACATACCTGTTACTGTATTGATCTTTCGGTGAAGACGTATCATGCTTGATTGCTAGCAAATTTAATTTAATTTCCCATGTCTGATGAAGTTGAGATTGTGATCTTGCAAGGTTTTGTTGGTTTGAGCAGTGTGCCTTGATAAATGTTGGTGAAAAATTATGCCTTTACAGATTTCACTTTGATAACTTGGTTAATTATTTCAGTGTCTTAGAGGAATATATCTAATTTTTGTGGAATAAATTTGCAAAAAATAAAAAATATAAGTTTAGTAGTCTGTCAGACAGCTGCCAGGCCATCTTGGCTAGCCAAAGCCAACCAAGAACGATCCTCTACTGACCGAATGGACACACGACCGAGCCCAAAGGGTATGTTAATCACGCTCTAGCCGGGCAGCCATAGCTCATCCACCAGACTGTGATGATTGTCTCTTTATATCTCAAGGATAAAGAGGTACGAGCCTATAGAACAGATCCTGTTCAAGTAAGGTCGTGCCCTGAGAAGCTGTAGTTGTTCATTAATAACACTCAACTTGTTTGGTGTTTTTCTGATGTGGGACTATTTTTGGTTATAGATACTTTCAACATCCTTTTAGTTTCTTCTACTTTTCAAGGACTAACAAAAAAATCTGGTCTACAAACATCCAACCACTCGAAAAAAAGAACCAAAACGGGAGATTTTTCATTGCTGGCTGAGTTAATAATAATCTATATACAGTCACATTTGACAACTCGACACAACACACATATCATCCTCAATGAAAATGTTCGTGCGGTGGAGCAAAAGTCGATAGAGTTCAACACACCATCAAGCTCCAATGAGCCTCCCCATAGACGATCTCACCCGGAAAACATGCTCCTCCCCCGTGCATTTATCCACTCTCACCACCCAATTACTCTTGCTTCTCGTCAGCAGCAGGCCTTCCCCTATCGGCAGAAGCTGAGTCTTAAAGCCGCTGTTCCTCCACGTCTCTTTGCAAAATGCATTGTACCCCAACACAATGCAGTTTTTGTGATGATGGCGCTCGATTTTTTCTTGAAGGGCACTTATGATGGCCTCGTGGCTCTCGAGTTTGCAATCGACGGCCACAAAATCCGAGTCTCTGTACTGGCTTGATAAGAGCTCCTTTGCATCCCCGTGTACAAACTCAATGTTGGCGGCATTTGGGCCGAGAGCTAGCTGTGAGGCTCGGAGATTTTGATGGTCGGGTAGTATGCAGACAATGCGCCCGCCGGTTTGGTGGGCGGCTGCCGCCAGGGCCAGGGCAGTGGAGTCTGCCGGGCCGCCACAAGCGACTACCGTGAAACGGGCATTGTTACCGGCTGCCAGGGCAGAGATGAATGCGGCGCCGTTCGGCTCTTTTGCACTCTTTCCCTGAATACAGAATCAAAAAGAAGAAATTAGGTAAAACTCTACAATAAGTATATATTCATGTAAAGATGTGTTTTTCGGGTTATTTTGTGTAGATGCTTACCATTTTCATGGTTTGGAGGTACGCATTGGTGGCATTCTCGGCAGACCAGCAAGCCATAATTCTTAGTACAATTTAATTAAAGTTTAATTTTTTCACTTCTCTCTAAAGGTCATGTGTGATGATGCGCTCAATCTTGGAAGTTGCAATATTTATAGAGGGCAGGCAGGCATTGGGACCTGCTGTTTTGCATGTGGGACTCTGTATACCCATCTGGCTCTGCTACAAGAATGAATAAAGTAAACTAAGCCATGAAACTCAATTATGTGCCATTATTATCATTATGTATTGCCGACTACAGTCCAAAAACGTTGAATATGCACATATACAAACTCAAATTAGTATGTATCATGGGCTAATTTTTTTGGTAAATTATGGATCATTGTTTCCTTAAAACATAAAAACTGTATGTATGTGTGTCCTGAAATTTATCAGAATCTTCAATGTACGTAGTGTTATCTATAAATTTCATCTAGTGTTCGGACTTGTAACGTATTATATGGACTCCACACGGTTACCTGTGACATTATCGTGCCCGATATCTTGAAACGTTGCTAGATGAAAGAAATACAATTTTTTTTTAAAAAAAATCTAAATGCAAGTTACTGAGATTTGAGTGAAGCTGCTGGGGTGGTAATTAAACCACGAGTCGAAATAACACAAAGTAGTCATTGTACTGTGAAGGACAATGTGAGCTTCCTGGAATTTAAGCTAGAGTCACTCACACCAAAAGGTTTGTATTAGACCTAACAAGGGATAATTAAGGTCAACTCAAGAAAATGGAACACTGTTTCCTCGCTTGTGTCATGGGCAATATGAAACTTGGGAATATCTTGCATTTACTTGTATAAATAATAATTTCTCTTGCTAGTTATATATGATTTAATTGGTAATGGAAAAGTTAAATAAACAACAAAACACTCTTGGAGAGTATAGAATAAACTAACTAGTGAAATCAATATGCAAATTAAACAAGAAGCAGGCTCTGAGAAAACAAAAAAAATGTTTATAGTTAGTTTCCATTGCCTGTCGGCTCGCAGGCGAACACAGATTTAGATCAGATCAACTTGTTTCCTTTCTCAGAACACATAAATAACACAAATACAGCAATCTTTAAATTTCTTGTTTATGTTGGTACGTTTTTCTCTTTAATGTATATAATTCAAAAACATGTGGCCACCATATATAGTTAGCATGCACGTATTCACATTTATTTTTATGATTTTTTTATTTTTTTACTATGATGTGTGACAAATGGTCAAGCTAATATATATCAGGTTTGCTAGCTATAAGGCTTCAAGAATCAATTATATTAATTCAGATCAATAATGAAGGCAATGAGATCGATGTGCCTGTTTCATCAATAATATATGGTCGAGCTAATAAATATATCAGGTTTGTTGGTATGAGCAGTGTGCCTCTTTCAGAATCAGAGTATATTTGATTGCTCAGTGTAATAGCAGGTGGTGGGTAGGATTGTTTCTAGCAATGCAATGAGATGAACGAGTGATATCTTTCTGTCTGTATTTGAATTATCATCACTGTTTGCAGATTTTTTATTTTTTTTTTTTTATTTTGGTACAGGGACCTTCCGGTTTCCGAATCCACAAGTGATAAGTCAAAAATATGTGTTGATTTAGTGGATTAAATTAGAATTGATATAAACTATTTGAGTTCAATTGACATGTATTTGATAGTATCTTGTATTTTCGAGTGGAAATTGCCGGTGTTTGAATTTCTGTGCAGATCTAAGGCTCTTTAGCATGTCAAATGGAAGATTCAACTTGGAGCAATTGAGTGTTCGTTGTGCTTGGGAAGAGAAAACGTTTATAACTAACATGGCAGTGTCCATATTACAGTTCAAATGCAACATGGCCATGTTGGTATTAATCTGAAACAGATTTCTCAATTGGGCTCAATTTAACGATTTAAGCCCAATAGAATACTAAACCTATTACACAACAGTACGCTAAAAAGAGAACAGATCTGCTAGGGATTTGCTGGGCGTAGGATACACGCAAGAACAAAGCACGAGGACGGCGGCTGCTCTTCTTTCTCCTTCACTTTATTTTCTTCATCTTTTATTTTTATTTTTATTTTTTATTTTATCTTAGATTATGATAGCCCTGCGCGGCTAATTTATATTTGTCTTGGTTGAAGACGATCGAAACCCCGGACCTACTATTGTGAGATCGAATTAGTTTTTATTCCAATTCATATATTTTCGCATCAATGTTTCGTGTGCATATTTTTATGATTGTTATGCTTAGGTGATAGATTGGCCACCTATTATTCTATGCTTATGATCTACTGCTTGATTGATACTTGAGTAGGATTTAGATCATGTGTCTTTCGCTAGAAGCAACTAAGATAGATAATTGACCGGATTTAGGCGTTGTCGTTCTTAGGCGAAACAATTGAACAAGTTGATATTTGACGGATTAGTTATTTATTGCTTGGATTGTCGGTCTCTTGTATTTAATGCTATTGCTAGAATAATTCTTCACGATGTTGGGAGTTAACTAGTTATAAGAGTCTCGTAGAAGGATTTATTTTGCGTGACTAATTTAGGAGATAGAATTTATATTCAACGACAGTTGCGTGGATTGTGAATTTATATTTTTGCATCAATGATCAGTGGGATAGTCTAGGGTGGAAATCAATTCAACCAAGGCAGATTCATATTATATTTATTTTTGTTTATTCATTTTTATTTTATTATTATTTTTATTTAGTGTTTGATAGGTAATTTCTAGTTTAGTTAGATCACCAATTCAAATTCCCCCCTCTTTGATCACATAGTTGATAGATTTGTTTACTTCTCCCCGTGGATACGATCCTTGCTCACGCTATTACATATTTTTAAGCAAGGTTAATTTGGGTGCCTACGACAGCACGACCAACAAGAGAACCGACTAATCCGGAATCGAGCCGAGTAGGACCACAAGGGCGGCAAAGCTCTTCCTCAAGAGTTTTAACACTGCTGCATTCCTAGGGCTCGAACATGAGACCACTGGTTAAACTGGAAGAGACCCAAACGGGGGAGTAAGAAGCCAATAAAAAGTAATATCATCATCATACAAATTAATATTGAATTTAAGGCAAAATCACACAAACATATTTACAAATTGATAAGAATTAAATCTTAATATAAAATCCATGTCACGCAACGAATTTGATGATATTATTTTGAATATAAAATCAATCTATGATTTATTTGAATATAAAATTTAATTATACAACAAAGTTAATGAATAGTTCTATATATACATATTTTATTTTATTTTATCTACTGTTGATGTATATGTACCAATATATTAATGTAAATCTTAAATATCTTATATTTATTAAATATTTTTTTTTTTTTTTATAAAGCATGACGATTCATATAATTAATTGTTAGATATTACTGGTTTGACTGATGACACTCATTCTATTCAAATAATTTATTTTCGGGGAAATTCTATTACAAGGCCCAACTTTTTGTATTTGTACCAGTTTAAGTCTTGAATTTTATTCTTTCTCAATAGAAGACTTACATTTTAACTTATTTTCAATTTAAGGCCTACTTTTTTAGTTAACTTTTCATTATAAAATCCAACTAACTTTACTTTTTGACATAAATATGTGAACCACTTATTATGTGAACAAAAATATTATTATTATTTTTTCTTGTAATTTATATTTTACATACTTATAATGAAAAAAATAATAAGTATGTTTGGTAAAATTACATTAATAAGAACATGAAACTAGATAAGTTACAATTATGCAAAAGTTTAATAATTATTATTTTTAAAAATTGATAATTTCAAAAATATGAAATTAAAATATTTTTTATTAGTTATTGTAAAATAAAAATTAGAAGAAAAAATAATAATTATATTTTTGCTCACATAATAGTTGGTTATCATATTTATGTCAAAAAGTAAAGTTAGTTGGGCCTTATAATGAAAAGTTAACTAAAAAGTAGGTCATAAATTGAGAGTAATCTAAAATGTAAGTCTTCTATTGAGAGAGAATAAAATTCATGCCTTAAATTGATACAATTACAAAAAGTTAAGACTTGTAGTGAAATAATTTATTTTCTTACAATAATAAGATGTTAAATATCAATAATTATGTTTAAATAATTTTTTTTTTAAAAAAAAGAAAAGATTTTAATTACAAGTCCGTCCGTGCATCAAACGAGATGCACACTAGTTAATTAGTAGGGAATTTTTTTTTAACTTCCCAAAGTATGTCATTTTTTTGAGTTTGCCATATAAACTTTGTTTGTTGACAATTTGTCTCCCAATGTAATCAAAAATGACAATTTGCCTCCTCGGTTAAAAACCCTAATATGACACAAAAGAGATAAATTTAAATTAATCTTGAAATTGATTTAGGGCTTTTAAAGCCCGTGGCGAGACGAACAAAATGATATATGGTTTGTCGAATTCTTAAAATTGATACTTCTATAATCGACCCATGGAGATTGTAGGAGCACGAGTGTATAGAAAAAATTTAAATTCAAGGATAATCAAGATATCCGATTTTTGATTGCGAGGTGTCATTTAAAAGCTTGTAAGACCAATTTTCTAACGCGTAAATTTTATGAAAATTTAACGATCAGTTTTTGATCAGTATTTAGAAAACTACTAATTGATAGTTAGCTTTTTTTTAGGCTACTAACCAAAATCGCACCGTTAGATTTTCATAAGATTTACTTAGACATAAAACTCGTCCTCCGAGCTTTCAAATGTTACTTCCCAATCGAAAATCGATATCTTGACAATAAAAAAACTTGAATTGAATTTTTTTCTATACACACGTGCTCCTACTGTCTTTGTGGATCGATTATAGAGGTATCAATTTTTAGAATTCTACAAACTATACCTTATTTTGTTTGTCTCGTCATGAACTTTAAAAATCTTAAATCAATTTTAAAAATTAATTTAAAATTTATCATTTGTGTCATATTAGGGTTTTTAATCGAGGAAACAAATTGTCAATTTCGATTACA